CCGGCGCGCCCTGGCTTCGGGCTCTCAGCAGCGGGTGCAGGACGAGCGCGCCTCATTCTCAGCACCTTTGTCCTGCGTGCGGGATGGCGGAGCCTCGGAGCATCCCCGTGGCCCGCTCTTCAGGGAGCGTTGATGAACCACGCGTAGAGCATTTCTGGAGCAGGCACTCCTCCCTTTTCACTGCTGTATTTTAAATGTTCAATTTTTGCCCATTTTTACGTATTCCAATTTTTATGGGGCTTGACTCAGGATGAAATGCACAGATGCGAAGAGTTGCTCCTTGGGCTAAGCTCTGACAGTTGCGTGCACGCACGTGACTGGAACCCAGGCTGGATGAAGGGCGCCCCGCGCCCAGAACGCCCCTCGCCCTCTGTCGCTGAACTCTGCGCCGAGGGATCAGGATCTAAAGAATTCAAGATGAAAACATCTCTCTTTTTCACTCATTTTTTGTGGACCAAGCCACCCGACCCCTGGTCATCACTCGAGCACTCTAGTCTTGGTTGGGCATCAGAGGTCCAGATGATTAGTGTAGATAATGTAGTCGTTTTAAGAAAACCACGATACGAAAGATAATTTTTTTTTTTTTTTTTTTTTTTTTTGAGACGGAGTCTTGCTCTGTCACCCAGGCTGGAGTGCAGTGGCCGGATCTCAGCTCACTGCAAGCTCCTCCTCCCGGGTTCACGCCATTCTCCTGCCTCAGCCTCCCAGTAGCTGGAATTGCAGCCACCACGCCCAGCTAATTTTTGTATTTTTAGTAGAGATGGGGTTTCACTATGTTGGCCACGCTGGTCTCAAACTCCTGACCTCAGGTGATCCGCCCACCTCTGCCTCCCAAAGTGCTGGGATTACAGGCTTGAGCCACCGCGCCCGGCCAACGAAAGAGAATTTTTAAAAAACATTTAAATGACAAGCTTTATATTATCTTTAGTCTTTTCTGTCTTTATTGGCAGAATTATATTGTTTCAGTTCAAATAATTTCAGATATCCTGTCCCTGGAGCCAGTCTGCACCAAATATGTGTTCTTGTGTCCGCAAAAAGTATGAATTACAAACAAAACAGGCCGGGGGCGGTGGCTCACGCCTGTAATTCCGGCTCTTTGGGAGGCCATGGCGGGCAGATCACCTGAGGCCAGGAGTTGGAGACCAGCCTGGCCAACACAGAGAAATCCCATCTCTACTAAAAATACAAAAAAATACCAAAACAAAACAAAACAAACACAAATTAGCTGGGCATGGTGGCGGGTGCCTGTAGTCCCAGCTACTCGGGAGGCTGAGGCAGGAGAATTGCTTGAACCTGGGAGGCAGAGCGTGCAGTGAGCCGAGATTGTGCCACTAACCTCCAGCCTGGGCGACAGAGCGAGACTCTGTCTCAAAAAACAACAAACCCCCAAAACAAAAACAACAAAAACCCCTAAAGAAACAACCAAACCCACCAAAACCATATATTTAAATCTGAGAGTCTATTTTTCAGCCCTGCCTAATGATTTCTAAGCTGTTCTGGTAACTTTGGTTTTGGAAATGGTCCTGGAATAATAGCGGATAGAGTAGCACTGGGATTTAGGAATTTTAAAGGGTTTACATCATTTCAGTAAATATTTAAATTCATGAAAACTGGGAAAATTCATAGATGAAAGATGTTTTGCATTATTGAGAAGAATCTTGCAGTCTGCTGCTGTGTGTGGTCATCACTGACAGATTTAAATTTTGATCTCTCTCCTGAACTCTCCATCCTGCTAATCTGGGATATTGAAAATGTATATTCTGTGAGATGTGCTGAATAGAGTTTGGGTTATTTTGGTTCATTATTTAAGTTATATGCTTTCAGTTAAAACAACCTAACCTACATGTTAAAAAAGATAAGGGTGTTAATTATGGGAAAGTGTAAATAATTCGGGAATTCTGGGTTGGAGAACTGTGAAATTATGTTAGAAGGGCCCTCCACTTATGCAGGCCTTCTAGTTGCATTGTAATGGAAAGGGATTTTCTGATTCCTTTAAAATGTGGCTGGTTTCACTGAAATGTGGCTGTATTTGAATGGCATTTTATTTTAGGGATTCTAAAACGTTAACTTCCTGTTTTATGGTCAGAACAGCATAAAATATCAGGAGTCACACGTTTTATTTTATTTTAAAATAGTTGGCTGACTTCACCCTTATTTTTAAATTTATGTATTTATGGTTTGTTTGTTTTAGAGATGGGGGTCTTGCTCTGTCACCCAGGCTGGAGTGCAGTGGCTCTATTAGAGCTTACTACTACCTCAAACTCTTGAGCTCAAGTGATCCTTTAGCATCAGCATCTTGAGTAGCTAGACTACAGGCATGTGCCACCACTATGTCCAGCTTAGGAGTCACACATTTTACTATGTGGTATATTCAATTTGTGTGATTGGTCAAACACATTTTTTTTTGTAGTAACCCTTTAATATCATTCGATGCCCAGTCCATCAGTTTTCTCCAGTTGGCTAATTGGTTTTGTTTTTGTTTTGAGAGAGTCTTGCTCTGTTGCCCAGGCTGGAGTACAGTGGCGCCATCTCGAATCACTGCAGCCTCTGCCTCCTGGGTTCAAGCAATTCTCATGCCTCTGCATCCTGAGTAGCTGGGCTTACAGGTGCACGCCACTGTGCCTGGCTAATTTTTTTTTGTATTTTTAGTGGAGACAGGGTTTTGCCATGTTGACTAGGCTGGTCTCAAACTCCTGGCTTCAAGTGATTTGCCTGCCTCGGCCTCCCAAAGTGCTGGGGTTACAGGCATGAGGCACCGCGCCCAGCTTGATCAAACACATTTTGATGCCTTAGGTTGAGTATCGTGATAATCTAATTTTTAAAACTTTGTTATGGCACATTTCAAACATATTAAGAGACGGAATAATGCAATAACCCCCATGTCCCATCACTCAGTGTCAGCAGCTAAAATCTGATGTCTGTAAACACAGTGTTGGAAGAGGATCTAAAATGTTTGCGTTTAAATAGGTTAACTTTAGAGGTTGTGAATTCTTGAAGAAGCGATCTCAGGGCTGATGCCACTAATAGGTAGGGAACTTGACCAAACATCTCAGGTCTTTTCCAGCCCTTTGATCTTTTGTTCAAAGTGGTGATTTTCAGATTTTTTCCCTTGGTGAGATCCATTTACTTGTAATAAAAAGTCCTTTTGAACCTCCTAGTCCTTCTGCTTGTCCCTGGAGCAGGGACGAAACTGCTCCAAAATAAGACAGCAGTTTCTGTGTCATATATAGACTTTGGGCCATAATTTGTTTCATGTTAAGATAATTATAAAACTGTCAAAATTCTTTGACAGTGATTCTACTTTTGAGAATCTACTCTAAGCAGATAATCCTAACTGTAGAAAAGGTTTTAGTGTACAAAGATTTTTATTACACTGTTATTTATTGAAGTGAAAATTTTGAAAGAAGCCATATGTCCAGCAAAATGGGATGGTTAATCAGTCTGCTTGATGAGATGAATCTATTAAAAGGTGTTTAGGAAAAGGTTATGACATGAAAAAATTCTTACGCAATATTATTACCAAAATTTACATGCAACATTATTATAGTAGTTGGAAACAAATATGAATGAAAATGTATGAATAGATAAAATATTAAAAGGAAATCATTAAAATATTAAAGTACTTACCTTTGTTCTTTTTTTCGTGTTTCTCATATTTTCTAAAATGTATAATCCTTACTTTGATGGTAGATATAACTTCATGACCTTTATTTTTTGAAACATACTTTGGGAAAAATTTAGAAAGTATATCAGCATTGTAAGAAAGTAATGTTGATTTATTCAAAGAACAAATAAAGCCAAAGGCTTTTTCTGAAGCAATGCAAATGAGCAAACCAACCCCCAGTTGTTTACTACCTATGTCAGGATAGATTATTTCTATTTCAGCTTTTGAGGCAGTGGCTCAAAGGACAATAAGTCACACACACATAGTTCATTATAAGAAAAGCAGCACAGGAGAAAATATTTGAAAAATTTTAGCATAAAAATCAGAGAAATTAAGCATTACTGATATTTCAGGAATGGATTGATGTGCTCTCCTGGGGTCTGAATACCAGGTGGTCTCTTGCCATTACAACTGAAGAAAGAGGGAAGTTTCTCACCCTTTCTTTAGCAGTATAGTGCAACATGGCATAGTCTATGTTACTGTGTTAGTTATATTTATAGCTATTATCCAGCAGAAGCGAGCAAACAACAAGAAAACGGCTGAGTTGACCCTTCTATTCCTGATTAGAACATTAGGTCAGTACAAGATGAAATAGTAAAACAACATAATCTATTAAGATTGGCAAATAATTGGCCAAAAAAAGTAGAAAATTACCAAGAGCACCACTTGAAATACAGATTTAGCTGGGTGTGATGGCGTGCATCCATAGTCCCAGCTACTGTGGACGCCAAGGCAGGGAGGATTGTTTGAGCCCAGGGGTTCTGGGCTATAGTGCACTGTGCTGACCTGCTGTCATACCAAAGTTCTGCGTCAATCTGGTGAGTTCCCAGGACCAGAGGACCACCAGGAGCCTAGTTTGGACATGGAGCAGGTCAGAACTCCTGTAATGATTAGTAGTGGGATTGCACCTGTAAATAGTCACTGCACTCCAGCTTGGACAACATAGAGAGATCCTGCCTCTTAAAAAGAAAAACGAATGGAAAAAAAAAATAATGGATTCTCCATCATAAAGATGCATCTTTTTTTTTTTTTTTTTTTTTTTTTTTTGAGACGGAGATTCACTCTTGTTGCCCAGGCTGGAAGGGTGGAGTTCTATGATGTGATCTTGGCTCACTGCAGTCTCCACCTTCCGGGTTCAAGTGATTCTCCTGCGTCAGCCTCCTGAGTAGCTGGGATTACAGGCATCCACCACCATGCCTGGCTAATTTATGTATTTTTATTAGAGACGGGATTTCACCATGTTCACCAAGCAGCTGTCGAACTCCTGACCTCATGTGACTGCCTGCCTCAGTCTCCCAAAGAGCTGGGATTACAGGCATAAACCACCATGCCCGGCCCATAATGATGCATCTTGCTACCATTTGAGATACTGTCTAATGGTAGTAGGGCATACATTTGGTTATAAATACATATACAAATGTTAGGAGTGTGTGCTTAGAGCCTTTTTTTTTTTTTAATGGACAAGATATATGATTGAAAAAGGTTTGGAGATCATTGGCTTAGAATGTAACCACAGAACTAAAGTGGGAAATAATAGCAGTTTGATGAGTTGAAACTTAACACATAAATTGTGATTTTTATGTATTATGTATTTGTCCTCATAGTAAGTAGGAAAATCATTTGTTTTTATGACGTGAACATTTTCCACTTTGTGCTTCCTATATACTGTATTACCATATTTGCTGATTTTCCACAAAAGGCAGGAATATCCTTTCTGAGAATTAATATAGCTGATCTGGCCTCTCTAGGGGAGGAAAACAGTTCTGTTTTTACAGATGGGCAAACTTGACCATAGAAAGTTTTGGGTGTCTTACCCAAGGTAACATAGATGAAATATGGCCCTAAGATCCTGCTGAATGGTTGTTCACTTTACAGCTCCCATTCATTCCAGAGATAAAATCAGAATGGATGGAAATTATTATCGTCTCATTGCATTTATGTAACTCTTTTCATTTTTGAATATGTGCTGACTTTAACCAAAGAAGTTATAAGAAGTGTGTATGATATTTAAAATACTCCTATGGTTACCTAAATGTGCTTCATGCCCTTGTTTGGTTCTGAGTTCTTCTCTCCCTTTTGGTTCCTTTCTAGTTGGAGGAGAGCAGATTAGTGCCATTGGAAGGGGCATATGTGTATTGCTGGGTATTTCCCTGGAGGATACGCAGAAGGAACTGGAGCACATGTAAGATGCATTTCTGTCATCGCTGTTTGAATGGGCTACATGGTGGTGGTTATGCTGGGAACTTCCATAGTACTTTGTGCCTGTGAAGTGAGCCCTTGTCACTTTTAACCATTGTTCCATTGGATGTAGTATGGTTATTTCTGTGTTCCAGAGGAGGAGACTGAGGAAGAATGATCTGGGAGACCTCGACACTAAGTCGGCCTCAGAGCAGGAGCACCGCCTGTCCTCCGTCTTTTTGCTACTATGGCTTCAGATCATGCCTCTTGTTCTCTTAATGCAAAAACCAAGCGTTTTTTCTTATGTTTGGTTTCTCTTTTTTAAATTGGGCAATGTTACCTGGGCACTATGTATTTTTAGAGTGCCTACTAGCTCACTGTGCACATAGGTATCTGGAACTCAGAGAGGTTAAATTCCTTGCCCCAGGTCATGCACACACACTTAGCAAAAAACCTGAACCCCAGTTAGAGTCTGGGCTCCCTGACCTTGAAGCCAATGATCTTTTTACTAAGGTGGTGGTGGGGGTTGAGGAGCAGGAGTTGCCATTGCTCTACCTGCCTGGCTTTCTGAGTTTACAGATGGGCAAGCTCTACTATAGAAAGTTTTAGGTGTCTTAGCCAAGGCAACACAGATGAAATATAGCCCTAAAATCCTGCTTCATGATTGTTCACTTTACAGCTTCCGTTCATTCCAGACATAAAAGCAGAATGCGCCCTCCGTGCACCTCTTCCCTCCATCACCACGGGGCACATTTACTTTAGATGCTGGATCCATTTGTTCTGCCCCTTGGTGCTCAGAGCTTGGGTATAACCCTGCCCAACTGTCTCTTTTGTATTAGATTGAAAATCAGACTTGAAACTGAATTCCCGCTAAGGTGTTGATGATGAATAACTATCATTCAGTACTACTTCAGTGATGGTGGTATTTTAGTAGCTGTCCCCTGGATACTCAAAGAAGCAGTAGAATGGTGTAATGGCTAAAAACTGAAGCTGTGGGTTTGAATGTCTTTATGGCTGTGACATACTACAGAGCTAATATTTAGCCTGGTGCTTAAGAGATGTGATTCAGCATAAGACAAATCTTGGCTGTGGAGAGGGGGTAAGGAGTAGCACCTGTCCCTGAGGATGCCCATATTAAGAGTCAGTGAATTAGTATTTATAGAGTCTTTGAAACTGCTGTTGACTTCAACATCATCCAGAAGTGTGGCTCTCAAATGGTGGGTTTTCAGCTTTCATGCTGGTGGTTCTCTGCTGTGCTTCTCAGATCTGACCCTATAGATGTCACCTGGTCAACCTTCTTGCCATGGTGACTATCCTTCTTCACATGTATAGGGAAAGCCCCTCTGGGGCTTAAGGAGCTTGTGACACAGTTGTCAAGGTGTCTTTCTCCAGATCTTTTTGCATATTTGCAATAACCATGATTTTTCTCAGTGTATTTGCTGAATTTTTTTTTTTTTTTTTTTTTTTTTGAGACAGAGTCTCCCTCTGTCGCCCAGGCTAGAGTGCAGTGGCATGATCTTGACTTACTGCAAGCTCTGCCTCCCCGGTTCAAGCGACTTTTGCGCCTAAGCCTCCTGAGTAGCTGGGATTAAAGGCGCCTGCCACCACGCCTGGCTAACTTTTGTATTTTTAGTAGAGATAGGGTTTCTCTATGTTGGCCAGGCTGGTCTCGAACTCCTGACCTCAGGTGATCCACCCGCTGTGGCCTCCCAAAGTGCTGGAATTACAGGCATGAGCCACCACGCTCAGCCGAATTGTTCATTTTGAGTAGCTCCAAGAAGGGGTGTAAAAATGGATGTCATTTATCCTAATGTGATGAATTCGTTCATGAAAAATTACAGTTGGATCCATGTTTTGAGATATCCCTGACCTAAAGGAGCAGAGAATAGGTGGTTGTTGTCTTAGCCCCAGTTCTCACCAGTAGCTGCTGTGAACTGGAGGGTCTGGCAAAAAAGAAGGCAATCTGAAAACAACCCTGTGAGGTAGAACTGTTATTATTCTGTATTGCAGCTGAGGCCACCGAAGCACAGGGTGGATAAGTGACTTGCCTGAGCTCATGCTTCCTGTCAGGGCTGGAGTTGTCATTATGTCCTTATTTGGCTGGAAGCTGGTGACATTTTTGGGGTATGGAGTGTGTCGGGGGGCTTATGATCTCTCAGGTAGCTCTCACTGCTCTTTTTCCCCTTAGGGTCCGAAAGATTCTAAACCTGCGTGTGTTTGAGGATGAGAGCGGGAAGCACTGGTCTAAGAGTGTGATGGACAAACAGTACGAGATTCTGTGTGTCAGCCAGTTTACCCTCCAGTGTGTCCTGAAGGGAAACAAGCCTGATTTCCACCTAGCAATGCCCACGGAGCAGGCAGAGGGCTTTTACAACAGCTTCCTGGAGCAGCTGCGTAAAACATACAGGCCGGAGCTTATCAAAGGTAAGCAGGAGAGCCACATCCAGGAAGGGGTCTTTGGGACACTCCTGGACAGAGGGAAAAGAGAAGCTGCAATTGCAGCATCACCTTTCCTGGAAAGTCATTGTTTATGCTTGTTGCTTACTTAGAACCACATACTAGCTGCTGCTATTGCTGCTGTTACACGTAACACGTGTTCTCAGAATGCTCCTGCTGGCACTTGCCTTCCTCCCTTCTGTTCACATTTTGAAAATGTTTGGGAGCCCAGAGGTATGGCTAATACAGTGGTGTTTCTTTGATTGTTTAGCTTAGCTGGAATATGTCATTTTAAGTTCTAGTAGCCATATTTAAAAAAGTAAAAAGAAACAGGTGAAATTAATTTTAAAAATATATTTTATTTAACTGAATATGTTCAAAATATGATTTTACTATGTAATCGTTATAAACAATGATGAGGTAGTTTACATTCTCTCTCTCTCTTTTTTTTTTTTTTCTAAATACAGACTTTATTTGATTAGAGCAGTTTTAGGTTCACAGTAAAATTGAGAGGAAGGTACAGAGATATTCCATATGTCCCTGCCCCCACATGCATAGCCTCACTCATAATCAACATCCCGCATTAGAGTGGTGCATTTGTTACAACTGATGAACCTAAATTCATTGTTGGATTATAACAATTGTTCATGGCGCATCGTTATCACCCACAGTCTCCTGTTTACACTAGGGTTCACTCTGATATTCTGTGGTTTGGGCACATTTATAACAACATGTGTCCACCATTACAGTATCATACAGAGTATTTTTAATTTTTATGATTTTTTTTCTTTTTCTGTTCTGGCTTCTCAATAAGATTTTTTTAACCTAGTCTCATAGACTCTGTCTTTTAGTAGATGAGAGAAAGTGTGTGTGTGTGTGTGTGTGTGCGTGCATGTGCGTAGAGACAGGAGGAGCTGTAGATGGTTTTTTTGTTCTTCTAATGGTTATTTCAAAGTTACCATTCATAAATAGTTACAAAAATTTCTATCAAAATTTAAGAGGATCTTAGTATATTTGAACATCCCCTTTTCCTTTCTGGTTCCACTTTTTAAAATGGCTTTATTGAGATATAATACACATACTATACAATTCACCCATTTAAAGTGTACAAGTCAATTTTTTTAGTTTTTTCAGAGTTGTGCAACCATTGCCACAATCTAATTTTATGACACTTTTGTCCCCCTTAAAAGGAATCCTGTACTTATCAACAGTGCTGGCCTACTCCCCACTCTCTTCTCTGTTGCCCCAGTCCTAGGCAGCCACTAATCTACTCTCCATCTCTTTAGATTTGTCTATTCTGAACATTTTATGTAAATAGAATTGTATAATGTGTGGTTTTCTTACTGGCTTCTTTCACTTAGCATAATGTTTTCAAGGTTTATCCATGTTGCCACTTTTCTTTTCATCATAATCACTTCTAATCATAATTTATTTATAATCTGTAACTGGCTGTATTTGATAATATATTTTATCGATTTCTGTGGCCACCAACCTGTCTTGCTTCCTTCTTTGGGCTCTTCTTTCTGAAGCACATTCTATGATATATCAGTTGTTTACTAGGAGTCTGTTAGTGGAACATAGCCATTGTAGGTTTTAAAATGTTTTTATTTTGCCTTAATTCTTTATGATTGCTTAGCTGGGCATGGAATCCTAGCCTGACATTTCTTTTCTGGTAAAATTTTGTCTTTTTTTAAAAAAATTATTCTTATACTTTAAGTTCTGGGGTACATGTGCAGAATGTGCAGGTTTGTCACATAGGTATACATGTGCCATGGTGGTTTGCTGCACCCATCCACCCGTCACCTACATTAGTTATTTCTCCTAATGCTATCCCTCCCCTAGCCCCCCACCCCTCAACAGGCCCTCATGTGTCCATGTATTCTCCTTGTTCAACTCCCACTTATGAGTGAGAACATGAGGTGTTTGGTTTTCTGTTCTTGTGATAGTTTGCTGAGAATGATGATTTCCAGCTTCATCCGTGTCCCTGCAAAGGACATGAACTCATCCTTTTTTATGGCTGCATAGTATTCCATGGTGTGTATGTGCCACATTTTCTTTATCCAGTCTATCACTGATGGACATTTGGGTTGATTCCAAGTCTTTGCTATTGTAAGTAGTGCTGCAGTAAACATACGTGTGCATGTGTGTTTATAGTAGAATGATTTATAGTCCTTTGGGTATATACTCAGTAATGGTAATTTTTAGTAAAAATCCTCTGTGCTCTGGCTATTCATCTCTCTCTCTTCCCTAACTCCTGTCAACCACTGATCTTTTTACTGCCTCCATAGTTTTGCCGTTTTTAGAATGTCATATAGTTGGAATAATACAGTGTGTAGCCTTTTCTGATTGGCTTCTTTGACTTAGTAGTATGCATTTAAAGTTTCTCTTTTCATGGCTTAATAGCTCATTTTGTATTAGCACTGAATGATGTTCTGTAGTCTGGAGATACCACAGTTTATTCACTTACTGAAGGATATCTTGATTGTTTCCAAGTTTAGGCAGTTATGAATAAAGCCGCTATAAACATATGTGTTTTCTTATTTTTTATTTATTTTGTTTTTTGAGATGGAGTTTTGCTCTGTTGCCCAGGCTGGAGTGCAATAGTGTGATCTCGGCTCACTGCAACCTCTGCTTCATGGGTTCAAGCGATTCTCCTGCCTCAGCCTGCCGAGTAGCTGGGATTACAGGTGCCTGCCACCACACCTGGCTAATTTTTTTTATTTGTAGTAGAGATGGGGTTTTGCCATGTTGGCCAGGTAGGTCTCGAACTCCTGACCTCAGGTAATCCACCCACCTCAGCCTCCCAAAGTTCTGGGATTACAGGTGTGAGCCACCATGCCTGGCCAAACATCTGTGTTTATAGCAGGTTTTGTATGTATATAAGTTTTCAGCTCTTTTGTGCAAATACCAAGAAATGCAATTGCTAGACTTAATAAGAGTATGTTTAGTTTGTCAGGAAGCTGCCAAACTGTCTTGCAAAGTGGCTGGATCATTTTGCGTTCCCACCAGTAATGAATGAGAGTTCCTGTTGCTCTCCATTCTTGCTAGTATTTGATGTTGTCATTGTTTTGGATTTTGGCCATTCTAATAGATATGTAGTGATACCTCATTTTAATTTGCATTTCCCTGATGACATACGATATGGAACATTTTTTCATATGCTTATTTACTATCTATATGTCATCTTTGGTGAGGTATCTGTTAAGGTCCTTGGCCCATTTTGAAAAATTGGATTGTTTTCTTACTGTGTTTTAAGAGCTCTTTTTATATTTTGGATACTAGTCCTTTATCAGATATGTCTTTTGCAAATATTCAACTGGCAAATATTTATCCTTTATCAGATATGTCTTCTGTGACTATTCAATTTGCAAATATTTATCCTTTATAGGATATGTCTTTTGTAAATATTTTTTTCAATCTGTGGCTTGTCTTTTCATTCTCTTGACAGTGCCTTTCATGGAGAGGAAAGTTTTAATTTTAACAATGCTCAGCTTATCAATTCTTATTTTCATAGATTGTGCCTTTGGTGTTGTATCTGAAAAGTCATCATCTTACCCAACAAAATCTAGATTTTTTTCCTGCTATCTTCCAGGAGCTTTATAGGTTTGCATTTTACATTTAGGCCTATGATTCATTTCAGATAATTTTTGTGAAGGGTCTGTGGTCTTTGTCTAGATGCATTTTTTAATATGTGGATATCCAGTTATTCCAACATCATTTGTTGAAAAGACCCCTTGCTCCATTGTATTGCCTTTGCTCCTTTGTCAAAGATCAATTCACTGTATTTATCAGGGTCGAATTCTGGGCTCTCTGTTCTGTTCCATTGGTCTGTTTCTTTCTTCTTTCATTAATACCACACTGTCTTATTTATTGTAGCTTTATTATAAGTATTGAAGTCGTATAGTGTCAGCCCTCTAACTTTGTTCTTCTCTTTTAATATTTTTTTTTGACCATTCTGGGTCTTTTGCCTCCCCATATAAACTTCAGAATCAGTTTGTTGATACCTGCAAAATAACTTGCTGGATTTAGATTGGGATTGCATTGAGTCTAAAGATCAAGTTGGAAAGAACTGACACCTTGACTGTATTGAATCTCTCTATGAACATGGAATATCTCTCCATTTATTTAGTGCTCTGATGTCTTTAATCACTTCTTTAATTTTTCTTACATAGATCTTCTACTTCTTTTTAGATTTATACCTAAGTATTTCATTCTGGGGGATGCTAATGTAAATGGTATTGTGTTTTTAATTTCAAATTCCACTGGTTCATTGCTGGTATATAGGAAAGCGATTGACTTTTGTGTCCTGCAGCCTTGCTATAATTACTGCCTGGCTTCAGTTTTTTTTGTTTAGTGTTTAGGATTTTCTTCTTGGATGATCATGTCATCTGCAAACAGAGACAGTTTTATTTTTCTGTTTAATTCCTTTTCTTTCCTTATTTCGTTAGCTAGGACTTCCAGTCCAGTGCTGGAAAGAGTGGTGAGTGGGGTATCCTTGGCTTCTTTCTGCTCTTAGTGGGAAAGCTTCTAGTTTCCCACTGTTAAGTATGATGTTAGCTGTAGGTTTTTTGAAGATACTGTTTATCAAGTTGAAGAAGTTCCCCCCAGCCAGGTGCGGTGGCTCACGCCTGTAATCCTAGCACTTTGGGAAGCTGAGGTGGTCAGATCTTCTGAAGTCAGGAGTTTGAGACCAGCCTGGGCAACATGGGAAACCCCATTTCTACTAAAAATACAAAAATTAGCCAGGCATGGTAGCATGCACCTGTAATCCCAGTTACTTGGGAGGCTGAGGCAGGAGAATCCCTTAAACCTGGGAGGCGGAGGTTGCAGTGAGCCGAGATTACACCACTCTACTCCAGCCTGGATGAGAGAGTGAGACTCTGTCTCCAGAAAAAAAAAAAAAAAAAGCCATTTCTAGTTTACTGAGAGTTTCTATCATGACTGGATATTAAATTTCATCACATGCTTTTTCTGTGTTTATGGATGTG